GAAAGAAAAAAGAAAAAAAAAACAGAGAATAAGATTTCCGGCTTCTCTTTTTAGAAACTGAAAGATCTGGTGATGTCAGGCCTGAATTTTCATAGAACAACCATTAACTAAATAGCGTTGTGGGTGACACAGACAACTGTTCCCCTATTGTCTACTTTTTCTTCTCTAACAGATTTCTGACCTTGTTCAAGCTGGTCTTGTGCCCAACGAAAATGCTCCTCCCATCTTCCCTTGCAGCTAAGGGTGGACAATGAGTTTTAAAAGGAAGTCTGTTGGGGTTTCTGGGAAAATCTTGCTTTCCAGAAAGATGACCTACCTCTTCATCTGTATTGCATTTTCTACTTTCCTCCCTGGAATATGACTGTGAAGGTCGGTGCAATGGCAGGCATCTTTTAACAATAAGGGAACAGTCAGGTGAATTACAGAGATCTTGTCCTTACTTACTTGAGCTATGGAACTCAGCTCAGCAACTTTTTTTCTTTTCTTTTTTTTTTGTGAGACAGAGTCTCCCTCTGTCACCCAGGCTGGAGTACAGTGGTGCATCCTTAGCTTACTGCAGCGTCTACCTCCCAGGTTCAAGCAATTCTCGTGCCTCAGCCTCCCAAGTAGCTGGGATTACAGATGTGCACCACCATGCCCAGCTAATTTTTGTATTTTTAGTAGAGATGGTGTTTCACCGTGTTGGCCAGGCTCGTCTTGAACTTCCGACCTCAGGTGATCCACCTCCCTCGGCCTCCCAAAGTACTGGGATTACAAGCAGCAGCAACTTGCTATGAGAAAAAGATAAACCGTGATTTGCTTAAGCCACTCTTTAGTTGGGCTTTCCGTAACTTACATTTTTTTCTTAACTGATAACAAGCTGGTGCCCCTTAACATAGGGTGCACACATTCTAGTTTGCTATCATCTCTGCCATCCTGTCATGTCTATTAGCTGGCCCACTTTTGTATGCCATCCTCCTGCCCACATTTTGCAGCCCACTAGTGTAGATTTTTCTCTCAGCTTCCCATGATGATAGCTGAGACTGTGCTGTGTAGACTTTCTGAAGACTTGGGGATAACCAAAGGGAATTAAAGCTCAGGGATGCTAACATGGAATCCCAGATGCAACTGCTTGCAGAATTCACCAGCCCAGGCTCTGCACAGGGCCCCTGATTCCCAGCTGGAGGCTAGCAAACTTTATATTTCACAACACTGAGCACTTAAGCCTTCCTCATCTAGAACTCCTCACTTCCAGAACAGGAACTGAGCTTTAGATTATCCTCATCAAGTCACCATCTTGACACCAACAGGAAAAAACCAAGTTGCTTCGAATGTCATTGTCCCCTTCATTCCCTGTTGCCTTTACCTACCAGGGTTCCAAAAAGACATCTCAGAGCTTAGGCTCAGCCCAGCCTCCAAGAAGAGAATGTGCCTCTGTTGTGCTTAGGATCTGGTACTTACCAGTCTTGAAGGGCACTCTTCTTTAGATACTAGTTCTGGAACTTCTCTAAGGCCTTCTGGGACTTAGCATTAGCCATCTGCTTCTAGATGGGGTTGAATATTGAGGTGGGGTTAAATATCTGAAACTTCTCTAAGGCCTTCTGGGACTTAGCATTAGCCATCTGCTTCTAGATGGGGTTAAATATTGATAATGAAGATATTTGCCTGGGTGTGGGCTAAGGCTGCATCACGGGCTGGTTATGCACACTGCTAGCAGTGTTTCTGAATGCCTCATATGAGAAACTATGGAGTGAAGTTTCTGAGACAGTGGCTGGGGAGCGTTTGGGTCTGGAGAACTGGGCTGGCATTACGAGGGTATAGAGAGACACTAACATTTTTTCCTGCCAGCCATGGCACGGTAGATTTCACTTATTTGAAGTCAGACTCAGTCGTGCTAATGAGTAAAGTGGATGGTGTGTCAGGAATGTTTTTGACTACAAATAACATAATACCCAACCAAGGAGGCTTGGACAAAAGGATATTTATCAATTATTTTTTTAATAAGTTTTTTTATTTTGGCATACTTTAAAATTTACAGAATGGTTACAAAGATAATATAGTTCTCACATACCCTTCACCCGGCTCCCCCTAATGTAAACATTGTACATTACCATGGGACATTTGTCAAAACTAAGCAATGAATGTTGATATGTTACTATTAACTGAACTCCAGTTTTTATTGGAGTTTCTTTTCTTTTCTTTTCTTTCTTTCTTTTTTTTTTTTTTTTTTTTTTTTTGAGACAGAGTCTCGCTCTGTTGCGAGGCTGGAGTGCAGTGGTGATTTTGGCTCACTGCAACCTCCGATTCCTGGGCTCAAGCGATTCTCCTGCCTCAGCCTCCAAAGTAGCAGGGATTACAGGCACATGCCACCACATCCGGCTAATTTTTGTATTTTTGGTAGAGACGGGGTTTCACTGTGTTAGCCAGGATGGTCTTAATCTCCTGATCTCATGATCCACCCGCCTCAGCCTCCCAAAGTGCTGGGATTACAGGCGTGAGCCACTGTGCCTGGCCGCTTGGAGTTTCTTTATTTAAGACGGAGTTTCGCTCTTGTCGCCCAGGCTGGAGTGCAATGGCATGATCTCAGTTCACTGCAACCTCCACCTCCCAGGTTCAAGCAGTTCTCCTGCCTCAGTTTCCTGAGTAGCTGGAATTACAGGTGCCCACCACCATGCTTGGCTGATTTTTGTATTCCTAGTAGAGACGGGGTTTCACCATGTTGGCCAGGCTGGTCTCAAACTCCTGACCTCAGCTGATCCACTCGCCGCAGCCTCTCAATGTGTGGGGATTACAGGCATGAGGCACCACACCCGGCCCTTTATTGGGATTTCACTGGTGTTTTCCATTCATGTCCTTTTATTGTCCCAGGATCTAATCCAGGACACCACTTTGCATTTAGGTTATTTACATTTTACTTAGCAAAAAGTCCTCTGGATGTAGGTGGCCTCGGTGTTGTTTCATCTGCTTTAAAAGACTGTGGCAGCCATGCCTTTCCCTGCACCCCAAGAGGATGCAGCCCTCCATCCTCTGCTCCATCTGCATTGCCTCAGAGGGAGAGGTGTCCCATTGCCTTTCTATACGGCCAGACCCCTCCTGTGTTAGGCCTCCCTCAGTTGCATCCCCCATTATTAGGGAAATACCTCGCTTCATCAATGACAGCCCTGCTCTCATCTTCACCTTCTGTTTTGTCAAGGTATCCCTCCCTTGCCTCTTTTATCTCAAAATAACCTGAAAACTGAGCACAAATGAAACTCAAAACACAACCCACCTGCAATCCCAAATTATTGCCAGCTTCCCCCTTTCTAGAAATTTCTAGAAAGACTCGTCTACATTCCCTGCTTCCCTTTCTTGGGCAGATGTTATTTCCACCTCCATCTGTGGTGATGGGAAGAAATCACCTCCACTGAAACTGCTTTCTCTGGGGTCACCAAGGACCTCGACCTTTCTAAGCCCAGTGGCTTTGCCTCAGTTTACACCCCAAGACTTTGACAAAAACAGGTAGTGGGCCAGATTTGGCCACGGGCTGGAGTTTGCAGACCCCTGGCCTAAAAACTGCAGTCAGAGGCCTGTACTGATAGGCAGAATCACCAAACATTATACACACTGCAGACAGATGCAGGCCGACTGTATCCACAACTTAAAGAACATGATTCAGGCTGTGCTGGTGATGTTATTTTCAGAATGGTGACTAACTCTTAGTAAAGTTACAAACAAATCAAATAACAATCTTCTCTTAATTGATACAGTGACTACAGTCCCAGATAATTCAGTGTCTATTAGAATTGTATGGAAAATTCTGTGTGTGTACGTAGAAAAGATAGTTGGTTTTTGTTTGTTTGTTTGTTTGTTTTTTAAGATAGGGTCTTGATCCGTTCAGGCTGGAGTGCAGTGACGCAATCATGACTCACTGCAGCTTTGACCTCCCAGGCTCAAGTGATCCTCCTGTCTCAGCCTCTCAAGTAGCTGAGACTGTAGGTGCGTGCCACCATGCCTGACTATTTTTAGATTTTTTTTGTAGAGATGGGGGTCTCACTTTGTTGTCCAGGCTGGTCTCAAATTCCTGGGCTCAAGTGATACTCCCACCTTGGCCTCCCAAAATGCTGGCCAAATTTTCTGTACCTAGAATCAAACTATCTTTTTTGACCAGATGTGGAAAAGGAGCCAGGCATAGTGGCTCATGCCTGTAACCCCAGCACTTTGGGATGTTGAGGCAAGTGGATCACTTGAGGCCAGGAGTTCAAAACCAGGCTGGCCAACATGGCAAAACCCCATCTGTACTAAAAATACAAAAAAAATTAGACAGGCATGGTGGTGCATGCCTTTAGTCCCAGTTATTTGAGAGACTGAGGTAGGAGAATTGCTTGAACCTGGAAGGCGGAGGTTGTGGTGAGCCGAGATTGTGCCACTGCACTCCAGCCTGGGCGACAGAGTGAGGCCCTGTCTCAAAAAAAGAAAAGAAAGTCTCAAAAGAAAATAAAAATATAAGGAGGTCTCTCATCTACGTAATGTCCAGAGGGGCACTGGGAAGTCACAAGGATGGAGGATGAGTCTTGGATGCCTGGTGCTATCTCACATGCTGCAGGGTATGTGACCTCTCGTGACCCACCCATTACATGCCACTAGTGCCTTCATCATTGCAAGAGCCAAAAAATCACTTCTCCAAGGTTACAGAAAGCCCCTCGGAGGAGGACAACGTCATTTCTGCTGGAAACCATGGCTTCGGGTAGGCAGAATGTATGTCAATGTATGTAAATGTCACAGGTGAGTGATATTTACATGCACAGGTGACAGCAGATCTCCAGATTGCTTCATTGTACCCCAGACTGGCTAAGATTAAGTCTAATTGAGGAGGCATCCAAGAGATAAGTTAAAATTCCATTTATAGGAAAAGAAAGAACATTGCAGTTTTTGTCTGAGCACACTTCAGTTAGTGAACTGTAGAACTGGTACTCATACAGATGCTAACACAGCTGGAATTTCTCTCTTTCTCTCTCTCCTCTCTTTTTTTTTTTTTTTTTCAGATTGTTGAGATGGAAAAAAAAATCGCAAACCAAAAACAGATTTTCACAAAAATACAGGAGGCCAATAACCCCCGGAAACTGCAGAAACAGATTCACATTTTGGAAACCCGTTTGAATCTCGTATGTAAGGTGTTCTCTGCAGCTCTGCAAACAGCTCTGCCTGACTTTGCTCAGAGCAAAGAATGATGTCTGCCCAGTCATTAGCAGAACATACCCATTTCCCTGGTTGACTCAGGAGCAGGTGAACTAATGGACACACAGGCCAGGAAGCCTTTAGGATTTACCGTCCACCTTAGCAAATGCGGTTATCCCCTCAAACCCTTACCCGAATCCCCCAACCTACCTGGGATGCCTACTCTTAGTTCTCTGCCCCAAACTTCCTGTTTGTTTTCAAGAAGCAGCTCAAATATTATCCATTACCAAAGCAGCATTAGTTAGACCTTCCTCCTCCGTGACAAGCTGCTCATGCCTCTGTCATAGCCAGTGCCTTTTTGTTGTTGGTGTTGTCTCTAAGAATTAGTCGGCATAGATATGCATAACTTGATAATGGGAAAGGTGACACTCATCACCCTCAACCTACAGTGACTTTTGTATTAAGCAGGGTTCCCTAAATTGCAATCTGGCTTAAGCAAAAAGGGGAACGTGTTTGTCATAGAATTGAAAGATCCAGAAGAGGAAGTGGGGCCTTCAGGCACAGCTGGATCTAGGTGCTCCATACACGTCTTTAAGACATATTCTCTGTCCATCTCTCCTCTGAGTGGATTTCGTTTTTGGGTAGCCCCCACTGTGAACAAATGCAGTAGAAATGAAACATCTTTTTCATAAGAGTTTAATCACATATTCTGGGGAGAGTTCCCACTGGGTCAACTTGGGTCACGTGCCCATTTCTGAACCAATCACAGTGGTCAGAAGAATGAAATACATGGGCCTGAGTCACATGGCTACCCTGGGGGCCCTCTCTCCCAGATCCACCCACTGCCACCCCAAGTCAGGGAAGGGCAACCCTATCCAAAATATGTGGATTAGAGGAGAGGTGGTTCCCCTGGAAAAGCAAAAAGAGTGGAGAAGGAATGACGGGCAGGGACAAACAACACATTCCAGTCTGGTTTGTGAAACTGTAGCTCCCATGTGAGCTACTAGAGAGAGAAAGTGAATGGATTTGGAAGAAATCCTGTCATTCCCTCACTAAACAAAGCTCCTAGCTTCCCCCGGACTTTGACCCCCAGGCTTTGACCAGGCATGGTGGGAGCTAATTGGATCTGATCTCTGTCTACCTCCCCAAGTTGCTGCTGAAGGACAGGGCAGTGTCTTTTTGATATCCATGCCCAGTGATTTGCAGCTGTGCCTCAGGATTCCCAGGATATGTGTTAAAAATACAAATTCTTGGATCCCCTCCGGATTCACCAAATCAGAACCTCCAGGGCGTAGGTTCAGGCATCTGTACCGTTATCAGCAAACCCAGAAAGACTGAAGATCCCATTGGTTAAGAATCATAGATTTAATGCATGGCATGGTGTGTAATGCCTCAGCAAATGTCTGTTGATTGAATGAGTTACTAAATGCATGCATGATTTAATGATGACTTGTCTATAGGTACAATTTTTTTTTTTTCTGAGACAGAGTCTCACTCTGTCACCCAGGCTGGAGTGCAGTGGCATGATCATGGCTCACTGCAGCCTCAGAGGTCTGCTTTTTTGTTCTGAGTCTATTCAGATGTTCTATTCTCCTCAAATCAATTTCAGTAGTTTGTGTCTTTCTAGGAATTTGTCTATTTCATCTAAATTATCTTAATCTGTTGGTATATAGTTGTTCCTAGTATATCCCTTGTGGTTTTTCCATAAGATCTGTAGTAATGCTCCTTTTTATATTTTTGAGAGGTCTGTTTTTTGCATCTCAAACTGGTCCTGTCTTCCCTTCATCCCTAACCAGATGTGATTGTGCCTTTTAATAGGTTAGGCAGCTGGCCTGGTGTGGTAACTCATGCCTATAATCCCAGCAATTTGGGAGGCCAGGGTGGTGGATCACTTGAAGTCAGGAGTTTGAGACCAGCCTGGCCGCCATGGTGAAACCCTGCCTCTACTAAAAATACAAAAAAATAAAAAATAAAAATTAGCTGGGCATGATGATGCATGCCTGTAATCCCAGCTACTTGGGAGAATGAGGCAGGTGAATTTCTTGAATCTAGGAGGCGGAGTTTGCAGTGAGCCGAGATGGTGCCACTGCACTCCAGTCTGGATCTGGACGACAGAGTGAGAACCTGTCTCAGAAAAGAAAAAAAAAAAAAGAAAGAAAGAAAAGAAAAAGGTTAGGCAGCCATCTCTAAAGGTGATTTCGGGGTCTCAGAGTACCCCATGGTCCTAAATATCCTCCACCTACTCAGTGGGGCCTGAGAGTCCTCCCCCTAGGTCAGGTCTTCCCCCGCACAGTCAGAGGATAGATAGTATGCCTACAGTCCTGGAGCAAAATTCACAGTAAAGAGCAAATAACTGATAACTGATAACTTCCCAAGAGGAAGTGGAGGATGCAAAGATAGAATAAGAATGCTCTGCTCCTAGGGACTCCCCTACTTTGTGTGGTGGCTGTGGAGACACTCAGGAACACCCAGAGCTGAGACTAGCAGCAGCAAGCAAAGAGTTCAGGATGCAACATTTTAGGAAGTTCTCCTGCTCAGGCTTGAGGAATCACAGGGCTGGCACCTGAGAGAGAGTGCCTCCTTAAATTTCATGCCCCGGTTGCCTCACTTCCTTTACCCTGGTGTTGGCCCTGCAGAAACCAAATGTTTCTTAGAACATACTTTGAAAACCTCCAAAGAAATTAAATCCCTTTGTTGTTAGGAATATTTTTTTGGAGTTGTTTCTTCTCAATGCTTATGGGAGCACTTCACATGGTCTTTTAAAAAAACTTAAAAAATTATTTTATTAAAAAAAAGATAGACTGGGTGTGGTGGCTCACACCTATAATCCAAGCACTTTGGGAGGCTGAGATGGGAGGATCATTTGAGCTCAGGATTTCGAGACCAGCCTGGGCAACTTGGTGAAACCCTGTCTCTACTAAAAATACAAAAAAATAGCCCAGCATGGTGGTCTGCACCTGTAGTTCTAGCTGCTCGGGAGGCTGAGATGGGAGGATCGCTTGAGCCTGTGATTGCACCACTTCATTCCAGCTGGTTGACAGAGTGAGACCCTATCTCATAAAAATAAAAACTAAATTCTACTGTGTATATTTAAGGTATATAATATGTTATTGGATACATATAGATATTAAAGTGGTTACTATAGTGAAGCAAATTCACATATCTGTTATCTCACATAGTTACCCATTTTTGTTTTTGTGACAAGAACCTCTAAAATCTGCGCATTAGCAGGAATCCCAAATACAGTACAATTTTTTATTTTTTTTTATTTTGAGACAGAATCTGGCTGTGTCCCCCAGGGTGGAGTGCAGTGGCACAATCTTGGCTCACCACAACCTTCGCCTCCGATGTTCAAGCGATTCTCCTGCCTCAGCCTCCTGAGTAGCTGGGATTACACATGCCCACCTCCACGCCCAGCTAATTTTTTGTATTTTTAGTAGAGACAGGATTTCACCATATTGGTCTCAAATGCCTGACTTCAGGTGATCCACGCATCTTGGTCTCCCAAAGTGTTGCGATTATAGGCACGAACCACTGCACCCACCCCAAATACAGTACAGTCAGAGTCCCTGGAGTCCTCATGTTGTACCTTAGGGCTCTAGACTTGCTCCTCCTCCATATCTGCTACTTGCTATCCTCTGACCTCCGTCTCCCTGCTCCCTTTCCCCCTCACCCCACCTGCCCCTGGTAACCACTTTTTTATTCTCTGTCTCTGTATATTTGCCTCTTTTTTGTTTTGTTTTGTTTTGATTTTTGAGACGGAGTCTTGCTCTGTCGCCCAGGCTGGAGTGCAGTGGCGCAATCTCAGCTCACTGCAACCTCTGCCTCCTGGGTTCACACCATTCTCCTGCCTCAGCCTCCCGAGTAGCTGGGACTATAGGCGCCCGCCACTATGCCCAGTTAATTTTTTGTGTTCTTTAGTAGAGACGGGGTTTCACTGTGTTAGCCAGGATGATCTCGATCTCCTGACCTCGTAATACGCCCGCTTCGGCCTCCCAAAGTGCTGGGATTACAGGCATGAGCCACCACGCCCGGCCTTTTTTTTTTTTTTTTTTTTTTAGACTGAATTTCATGCTGTCACCCAAGCTAGAGTGCAGTGGTGGGATCTCGGCTCACTACAACCTCTACCTCCCAGGTTCAAGCGATTCTGTCGCCTCAGCCTCCCAAGTAGCTGGGATTACAGGTGCCCATCACCATGCCTGTCTAATTTTTGTATTTTTAGTAGAGATGGGGTTTCACCATGTTGGCCAGACTGGTCTCAAACTCCTGACCTCAGGTGATCCACCTGCCTCAGCCTCCCAAAGTGCTGGGATTACAGGCGTGAGCCACTGCACCCAGCCTTGACTTTTTTTTTGTTTAGAGTCCACATATAAATGAGATCATGCAATATTTTTCTTTCTGTGTCTGGCTTATTTCACTTAGCATAATGTCCTCCAGTTTCATCCATGTTGTGACAAATGGCAGAGTCTCCTTTTTTAAGGCTCAGTAATTGGGGGTGATTTTGCCTCCAAAGGGACATTGTCTCCAAAGGGAGACACTGTTGGTTGTCATAACAGGGTTGGAGGTGAGGGTGCCACCTGAATGTAGGGGGTATTTAATATCCCACAAAGCATAGGACAGGCCCCTGTTGAAAAGAATCATCCAGCCCAAAGTGCCAGTGGTGCTGAGTTTGAGAAACCCTGTATAAAAACAGCCCCACCCCATTTTTTTTTCATGCTATCAATTTGTTGAAGAGTCCACATCAGTTGTCCTGTAGAAAGTTCTATTAATACCTTCTCAGTTTGGCTTATTATTTCCTATGGTGTCATTTAGCTTGTTCCCCTCTCCTCTGTTAATTGCCTAAAACTGGAAGTTAGGTCTAAAAGTAGTTGAGGAATTTGAGATACAGTAAAAAGGATCCATTAAAGGGCCCTTAGCCAGTTGGTGGGCCACTCAACTGACTCCAACTGGTTGAACCTCTTGCCTAGTGCTCCAACCACTCTTCCATGGCCCTTGGGAATGAGATGGGGCAAAGACCTGACAGTCCTCCAGGTACCTTCTGGAACCTTGTCTTACACCCCAGAAATGAGACCTGTTTTGAAGCATGGCCCTTTCAACAGGTCACTGTTCACTTTGACAAGATGCTGACCACTAATGCCAAGCTCCGGAAGGAGATTGAAGACCTACGATTTGAGAAGGCTGCTTATGACAATGTCTACCAGCAGCTCCAGCGGTGCCTGTTGATGCAGAAGAAAACCATGAACTTGGCCATTGAGCAATCTTCTCAGGCCTATGAGCAGAGGTGGGCTGGGGATAGGTCCAGGGGCAGTGAGGTCTCTTAGCCCCTTGCTGAGCATCTAGCTTTCTACTCTGGGCCACCACTGCCCCTGGTCCTTATGTGTTGGGGAATCTTAAATCATAGTAGTAATAATTCTGAACACTGTGTGCCAGGCATGATGCTAGGTACTCTGGTGGGCATTGTTTTAACTCTCACAACTGCCCTAGGAGTTATTATCCCCATTTTACAGACTAGGACATGGAGGCTTAGAGATGTTAAAATGCCTATCTGAGATCCAGGTAAGTGGGATTGTGGTGAAGTTGAGATTCAGACCTCTGTGCTGTGCCATCTCCTCCAAGTGCCCCTGCCTCTAGTCCAAGGGGATCTTTCTCAGTCTGGGTCTTTGCTGGCTTCACACTCTTAGGAGCAAAAGGCATATAGTTTGGCTGTAAAGGGCATAGGCTTTAGAGTCAGACAGATCTGGGTTTAAATCCTGGTTTCATCACTACTATATTGTTGTGGGAGTTCTTTAGATGGTGAAGAGGATTAAATGATATATAAATGTAAGGTAGTGCCTGGGACACAGTAATTAATAAGTGGTGATGGTGGTGGTGACGATAATGATGGTGATGATGGTGATAATGGTGATGGTAATGATAATGACTGTGGTGATGGTGGTGGCGATGATGGTGATGGCAATAATGATGGGGATGATGGTGATTAGGAAGATAATGATGATGGTGATGGTAATCATGGTGATGATGGTGATGGTAATGATGGTAATGATGGTGATGATGATGATGGTGGTGGTGATGATGATGGTGGTGGTGGTGATGATGGTGATGGTGGTCATGGTAATGATGGTGATAATGATGGTGGTGGTGATGGTAATGATTGTGGTGATGGCAGTGGTGGTGGTGGTGATGATGGTGATGGTGATGGTAGTGATGATGGTGATGGTTGTGGTGATGGTGATGATGATGGTGATGATAGTGGTGATTAGGAAGGTGGTAATGATGATGGTGAGGTGGCGATCATGGTGGGTGTGTGATGGTGATGGTAATATAGTAATGATGGTGATAATGGGGATGATGATGGTGGTGGTGATGGTAGTGATGATAATGGTGATAATGGTGATGGCGGTAAAGGATGATGATGGTGACAGTGATGATGTTGTGATGGGTAGTGATGATGGTGATAATGGTGATGATGGTGGGTAATGGTGGTGGTGGTTATGGTAATGATGGTGATGGTGGTGGTGATGGTGGTGGTAATGGTGATGATGATGATGGTGGTGATGAGGATGGTATTTTGTCAGGATGTGGTGATGGTGGTGGTGATGATGATGGTGGTGATGGTGATGATGATGATAGTGGTGATGGTGGTGGTGATGGTGGTGGTGATGATGGTGATGTGGTGATGATGATGGTGATGGTGGTGGCGGTGACGATGGTGATAGTGATGATAGTGGTGATAATGGTGATGGTGGTGAGATGATATGGTGACACTACGACGGTGATGGTAGTGGTGATGGTGATAATGGTGATGATAGTGGTGATGGCAGTGGTGGTGGTGGTGATGGTGATGGTGGTCATGGTAATGATGGTGATAATGATGGTGGTGGGGATGGTAATGATTGTGGTGATGGTGGTGGTGATGATGGTGATAGTGATGGTGATGGTGGTGGTGATAACATGATACCCAGGATGGTGGTGAGGATGATATGGTGACAGTGATGACGGTGACGGTAGGATGATGGTGATAATGGTGATGATAGTGGTGATGGCAGGTGGTGGTGGTGGCATGATGGTGATGGTGGCCGCGGTAATGATGGTGATGCAAATGATGGTGGTGGTGATGGTAACGATTGTGGTGATGGTGGTGATGATGGTGATAGTGATGGTGATGGTGGTGGTGATAATGATGATAATGGTGATGGTGGTGATAAGGAAGTATGATGGTTATAGTGGTGGGTGGGGTGGCGGTATGGTGATGGTGGTGATGATAGTGGTGATAATTGTGATGGGGGTGGTGGGGCTGGTGATGGTGATGGTGGTGATGATAGTGATGATAATGGTGATGGTGGTGGTGGGGTGGTGATGGTAGATGTGGTGGTGATGATAGTGATGATAATGCAGGATGGTGGATGGATAATGAGGGTGATGATGGTTATAGTGGTGATGGGTGGTGATGGTGATGGTGGTGATGATAGTGGTGATAATGGTGATGGTGGTGATGATGATGGTGGTGGTGATATGATGATAATGGTGATGGTGGTGGTGGGGTGATGGTGGATGGTGGTGATGATAGTGATGATAATGGGGATGGTGGATGGATAATGAGGTGATGTGATGGTTATAGTGGTGGTGGGTGGTGATGGTGATGGTGGGGATGATAGTGATGATAATGGTGATGGTGGTGGTGGGGTGGTGATGGTGATGGTGGTGATGATAGTGATGATAATGGTGATGGTGATGATGAGGGTGATGATGGTTATAGTGGTGGTGGGGGTGGCGGGCGGTGGATAGGATGAGGGCGATGATGGTTATAGTGGTGGTGGGGTGGCGGAGCAGATGGTGGTGATGATAGTGGTGGATGGTGGTGATGATGAGGGCGGCGATGGTTATAGTGGTGTGGGTGGTGGATGGTGATGGTGGTGATGATAGTGGTGATAATGGTGATGGTGATGATGAGGCGGTTTATTTTGCTTATAGTGGTGGTGGGCATGTATGGTGATGGTGGTGATGATAGTGGTGATAATGGTGATGGTGGTGATGAGGGCGATGATGGTTATAGTGGTGGTGGGGTGGCGATGGTGATGGTGGTGATGATAGTGGTGATAATGGTGGTGGTGGTGATGATGGTGACAGTGATGATGGTGATGGTAGTGATGGTGATAATGGTGATGATAGTAGTGATGGTGATAGTGGTAATGGTGGTGGTGGTGATGATGATGGTGATGCTGAAGGCAATGATGATGATAATGATAGGAAAATCACTTCTGGGAGTGATCTAGAGCTTACAGCTCTTGTTGTTCAGGTAAGGAGGGTTGTTTTTACACAACCAGAAACCATTGTAATTAATAAAAGTGATAGTCATTGTCTAGGCAGGAAGGCCTTCTGGACTAGCAGGGAAAGGGAAGCAGACGGGTGGAGCCTCAGATGCTTAGGCTCTGTACCTTTTGCCCAGAGTGGAGGCCATGGCTCGAATGGCTGCCATGAAGGACCGCCAGAAGAAGGACATCTCTCAGTACAACCTGGAGATCCGAGAGCTGGAGCGTCTCTATGCCCATGAGAGCAGACTCAAGTCCTTCCTGCTTGTCAAGCTGAATGACCGCAATGAATTCGAGGAGCAGGCCAAAAGGGAGGAAGGTACATTCTCCAGGAGCAAACTTGTGCTCTCTCGCTCTCTTTCTTGCCTTCTTTCTCTCTCTCTTTTTAAGTGAAGGTGCCCAAGTCTCCTTGTGGTTGCCAAATTTAACAAATAAAGATATAAGATGCCTAGTTAAGGTCGGGCACTGTGGCTCACGTCTATAATCCCAGCACTTTGGGAGGCCAAGGCAGGCTGATCATTTGAGGTCAGGAGTTTGAGAACAGCCTGACCAACGTGGTGAAACCCTGTCTCTACTAAAAATACAAAAAATTAGCTGGCCATGGTGGTGAGTACCTGTAGTCCCAGCTACTTGGGAGGCTGAGGCAGGAGAATCACTTGAACCCGGGAGGCAGAGGTTGCAGTGAGCCAAGATCATGCCACTGCACTCCAGCCTGGGCAACAGAATAAGACTCTGAGACCCTGTCTCAAAAAAAAAAAAAAAGCCTAGTTAAGTTTAAATATAAAATAAACAATAAATAAATATTTAAGGATAACTGTGTCTCACGCAGCATTTGGGACATACTTTCTGATAAAACTTCTTGTTTATAATTGGGACATATTTATACTTAAAAATATATTTGTCTGAAATTCAAATTCAACTGGGAACCCTCTATTTTATCTGCCAACCCTAATTTACGGCATGTGTCTTCATTTGGGGCTCTCTTTCTATTGTTTAGAGGGAGACTGATTGTCGGGGTCCCCAAGTTCATCTCTAGGTTTGATGATTCACTAGAATATCTCGCAGGACTCAGCACAGAGGCACCTTCACGGCTGTGATGCATAACAGTGAAAAGGTGCCAAGCAAGGTCAACACGGGGAGAAGGTGTGTGGTCTGGTGTCTGGAGGAAACTGGACGCAAGCTTCCCAGTAGAATCACACTGAGCACACGTGGTTCTTCCAGGATCTAACTGTGACCACACATGTCAAGAGTTATCTACTGGGCTGGGCATGGTGGCTCATGCCTATAATCCCAGTACTTTGGGAGGCCAAGGTGGGAGGATCAGGAGTTGAGGCCAGGAGTTTGAGACTAGCCTGGGCAACAGAGCAAGACCCCATCTCTATAATAAATTCAAAAAATTAGTTGGGCATAGTGGTACGTGCCTGTAGTCCCAGCTACTCGGGAGGCTGAGGTTGGAGGCTTGATCTCAGGAGGTCTGATGGTGACAAGGTGCTGAGGGGTAGAAAAAAGCAGATCCTAAGCCCAGGAGTTTGAGGCTGCAGCAAGCTATGATTGCACCACTCCAGCCTGGGTGACAGAGTGAGACCCTGTCTCTTGGAAAAAAAAAAAAAAGGTTGTCTCATAGTAGGGTATACTAGAGATTCTGTGCCCCAAATTCTTACTGGGGGCTGGTCGTGTAGACATCCTCTGCCTAGCACATACCAACATTCTAGACCCCCAGAGGAAAAGCAGCTGTTTGGGATAAACTGCTGGGCATGGTGACACTTGCTGTGGTCTCAGCTACTGGGGAGGCTGAGGTGGGAGGATCACCTGAGCCTCACCAAAACAGTGGGGAGCGACTACCTGTGAAAGGTCACATGGTCAGGTGTGCCTAAAAGATCCTTTTTTTTTTTTTTTTTTGTTAAAGAAACAGGGTCTTGTTCTTTCTCCCAGGCTGGAGTGCAGTGCTGTGACAGTCATAGCTCACTTTAGCCTTGACCTCTTAGGTCCAAGCCATCCTCCCACCTTGGCCTCCCGAGTAGCTAGGACCACAGGCACTCACCACGACACTTGGCTAATTTTTTAAATGTTTTTTCTTTTTTTAGACGGAGTCTTGCTCTGCTGCCAAGCTGCAGTGCAGTGGCACAATCTCGGCTCACTGCAACCTCCACCTCCTGGGTTCAAGTGATTCTCCTGCCTCAGTCTCCTGAGTAGCTGGGACTACAGGCACACGCCACCACACCCAGCTAATTTTTGTATTTTTAGTAGAGACGGGGTTTCACCATGTTGGCCAGGATGGTCTCGATCTCTTGACCTTGTGATCCGCCTGTTTTGGCCTCCTAAAGTGCTGGGATTACAGGCATGAACCACTGCACCCAGCCTAATTAAAAAAATTTTTTTGTCAAGGTGGGGTCTTGCTATGTTGTCCATGCTGGTTTTAAACTCCTGGGCTCAAGTTATCTTCCCACCTTGGCCTCCCAAAGTGCTGGGATTACAGGTGTGAGCTACCATGCCCGGCCAGGGCAGGGATTTTGTATCAGCAGTGCCTAGCACAGTGTGTGTGGTTCATAGTAAATGCTTCATGAGATATTTGTGAAATGAATGATGGGTGAAGCTTCTGCTCTATCTCCTGGAAACATCTAACCTCATCCCTAAGGCATACTACTACTAGTACTCCTCCTCCTCCTCCTCCTCCTCCTCCTCCTACTACTACTACTACTATTACTACTACTACTACTACTACTGCTATTACTACTACTACTACTATTACTACTACTACTGCTATTACTACTACTACTACGTATATATAAATATATATACACATACACACATATACGTATATCTATGTGTGTATATATATATTTATTTTTATTTATTTATTTATTTGAGATGGAGTCTTGCTCCGTCACCCAGGCTGGAGTGCAGTGACGCAAACTCGGCTCACTGCAACCTCTGCCTCCCGCGTTCAAGCAATTCTCCCGGCTTAACCTCCCATGTAGCTGGGATTGCAGGCATGTGCCACCACACCTGGCTAATTTTTATATTTTTAGTAGAGACGGGGTTTCACCATGTTGGCCAGGCTAGTCTCGAACTCCTGACCTCAGGTAATCCGCCTGCCTTGGCCTCCCAAAGTGTTGGGATTACAGGCGTGAGTCACCATGCCTGGCCATAATGATAATATAGATCACGTTACTGTCTGCCTGGCATGGATCTGAGGCGCTTCCTTTTGAGTGTCACAGTGGCTGATTTTTCCTTTCCTAGCTCTCAAGGCAAAGAAGCATGTCAAGAAGAGCAAGGGAGAGAGTTTTGAGAGCTACGAGGTGGCCCACCTCCGGCTGCTGAAGCTGGCTGAGAGTGGGAACCTAAACCAGCTCATTGAAGATTTTCTGGCCAAGGAGGAGAAGAATTTTGCTCGGTTCACGTATGTCACGGAGCTCAACAACGACATGGAGATGATGCACAAGAGGACCCAACGAATCCAGGTCAGGGTGCCTCTGCTTTCCTAGGCCCTGGGGCCCCTGTGTCCACAGCAGCCTTTCCAGAGCAGTCTCCCAGGAAGGCTCTGTGAGAGGCACTATAGAAAGCAGTTTGGTCAACACCCCTCTATTCCCCCTACATTTTATTTTTGAGACAGGGTCTTACTCTGTTACCCAGGCTGGAGTGCAGTGGTGCGATGTTGGCTTACTGCAGCTTCAACCTCCCGGGCTCAAATGATCCTTGCATCTCAGCCTCTTGACTATTCTGGACTACAGGTGTGCACCACCATGCCTGGCTAATTTTTGCATTTTTCGTAGAGTTGGGATTTTTGCCATGTTGCCCAGGCTGGTCTCGAAATCCTGACATCAAGCGAGCCTCCCACCTTGGACTCCCAAAGTACTGAGATTACAAATGTGAACCATTGCTCCCACTGTCCCCTTACTTTTTATTTGTATTTTTGTTTTTGAGATGGAGTCTTGCTCTGTCATCCAGGCTGGAGTGCAGTGGCATGATCTTGGTTCACTGCAACCTCCACCTCCCGGATTCAAGAGATTCTCCCGCCTGAGCCTCGGGAGTAGCTGGACTACAGGCGCCCACCACAATGCCCTCTTTTTTTGTTTTTGTTTTTGTATTTTTAGTAGAGACGGGGTTTCATCATGTTGGCCAGGCTGGTCTCAAACTCCTGGCCTCAAGTGATCTGCCTGCCTCAGCCTCCCAAAGTGCTGGGATTATAGATGTGAGCCACCGTGCCTGGCCTGTAACAATGGATACCTACATTTAATGTTTTCATGTCCCCCAACCCAATAGTGACTTTATAATCCATGGCGTGTTTTATTAACCAGCATTCAGGAAGCTACAGTCCATGGCTGTTTCTGTGCAGCCCATGAGCCAAGAATGATTTTTACATTTTTAAAGGATTGTAAGAAGAGAAAAAAAAGAGAGAGAGAGAAATACGCAAGAGGGACCTGCAAAGCTGAAAGTATTTCTTATTTGGCCCCTTACCTGACCCTTGTGAATTAACAGTTTCAAGGAGAGATAATGCATTCTTATCTTGGCGAGACTTGATGCACATGAGCATAGTAAAGGCCCTGACAAGTCCTGCAGTAAAGAAACCTGCCTACCTTTGTTGAACCCATAATTTCCCAAATGTCACTGGCTTCCTGGGCTATTTACATGCCAGTATATAAATAAACATCCTTTGGAACTATCTGCATGGAATAGAGTCTAAACCCCTTAGTGTGACATTCCAGCCCCTTCAAAATTTGGCTCCTACCTGCCTTTGCAGACACAGGTCCTGTTATGACCTCCAAGACACCCTCTGCTGCTGCCAGCCCCAGCTGTCCCATGCATTTCCCTCCGCCAGTATCTTCCCCGTGCTGTTCCATCTCTCTCCCCTCCTTTTCTCTTCTGATGAAATCCTGCGCATTAGTCCTGACCCTGCACAAATGTTGCCTCCTCTGGGAATTCATTACTCCTTCTTCTGAGGGCCCTGTCCTCTGCTTACGTGATGAGGGGAGCTGCTTTCTTTTGCAATATATCACTGTTTCCCACATGTGGGGTATGCACGCTGGCCATGTGCAAATAGATTGCAACTAGAATATAGGTGAAAATATTTTCATTTACTAGTGATGAATTAATTTTTAAAGGAATAATAGAGCTTCCAGAGCAAACTTGTGATTTAATGGATATTTACTTAGGGTAGTAAGTAATAACAGTAAACAAAGAATAATAAACATAATAAACAGAATGGCTTGGTTTACAGAAAACTATTATAGATAACAGTCCATGTGGCTGCAAAAAATGGAGTGAAGGTGACTTTATCAGCTAGGGTTGTCACAGGAAACAGCACAGCCAACATGGGTAAATTGGCCAGGCACGGTGGCTCACACCTATAATCCTAGCACTTTGGGAGGCTGAGGCAGGTGGATCACCTGAGGTCAGGAGTTCAAGACCAGCCTAGGCAACATAGTGAAATCTTGTCTTTACTACAAATACAAAAAATGAGCTGGGCGTGGTGGCGGGCACCTGCAATCCCACTACTCGGGAGGCTGAGGCAGGAGAATCCTTTGAACCTGGGAGGCAGAGGTGGCAGCGAGCCGAGATGGCGCCACTGCACTCCAGCTGGGGTGATAGAGCGGGACTCCATCTCAAAAAACAAAAACAAAAACAAAAACAAAAAAATCCACCCCAAAAAACCACCAAAACCCAAAAATAAAATGGGTAAATTGAGGAGAGTTTTTAAAAAGGGGCTGTTTCCAGATGTCTGAGGAAATTAAGAAGGCAGCACGTGGGAACAGCCAGAGCTCCAAAATGGGTCAGGGGAGGGAGGAATGAGGAGATGGCTGCCCGCTATGCCCTTCCTGGACTGGTGCAGCCAAACTAGGGATGGACCCAGGGGGTGGCAAATACCCCAACCTCCCTCTCCTCCCACCCTTTATCTCCCACTTGTGCGTGCCACTGGCTGGGCTGCCCAGCAGCCAAGCACAAGGGAGCCCATAGGTACAAGCCCCGCAGGTCCCAGGCAGGGCATGGGGAGGTGCAGGGTGGGAGGTGCATCTGGGGGTGGGGAAGACAGACTTGAAGGACCCTCATGCCACTCTCTGTCCCTCTCCCGGAAGGAGGTCTTCCTGGATGAGGGTCCAGGACAGGCACAGGAAATGGTTCTTCCCCAGAAATGACCTAGACCTCCCGTTCACCTTGAGGCTGCTCTGTCCTTTCCTGCTGCAGCTGCACAGCATCTCACGCACGAGGACAAGTGCAGGCGCTCTGGGACTCAGTCTCTCTATCTGTAGAATGGCACACACACTTGGACTAGAGGAGTCCTCCAAGTCCAAACTCTTTTTATAAAAAAAAGTTTCAAACTTTTATTTAAAAAGCTACAAAAGATTTTTTTTTTTCCTTTTTCTTTTTTTCTTTTTTTTTTTTTTTTTTGAGACAGAGTCTTGCTCTGTCACCCAGGCTGGAGTATAGTGGCACGATCTCGGCTCACTGCAACCTCCACCTCCCGGGTTCAAGTGATTCTCCTGCTCAGGCTCCTGAGTAGCTGGGACTACAGGCGTGAGCCATCACGCCTGGCTAATTTTTGTATTTTTAGTAGAGAAAAGGTTTCACCATGTTGGCCAGGATGGTCTCAAATGCCTGAACTCAGGTTATCTGTGTGCCTCAGCCTCCCAAAGTGTTGGGATTACAGGGGTGAGCCACCACGCCCGGCCATACAGAACGCTTTTGTTTAATTCCATGTTTTGAGGAAACACTGGTATATAAAACATAGGAAATGGAGCAGACCTGGATGGAGGAGTGGGGGTGGGATGGGCCATGCGAGGGGGCTGGGACCCTACCTTTTTGCCTTCTTGTGGCATCTTTGCTCAAACTAAGGAATCAGGTTAAAAAAAAATTTTTTTTTTTTTAATTAAAAACAATTAGGAGGCTGGGTGCGGTGGCTCACGCCCGTAATCCCAGAACTTTGGGAGGCTGAGGTGGGTGGATCACGAGGTCAGGTAATCAAGACCATCCTGGCTAACACGTGAAACCCCGTCTCTACTGAAAATACAAAAAATTAGCCGGGTGTGCTGGCCGGCGCCTGTAGTCCCAGCTACTCAGGAGGCTGAGGCAGGAGTATGGGGTGAACCCGGAAGGCGGAGCTTGCAGTGAGCCGCTGCCCTCCAGCCTGGGAGACAGCAAGACTCCGTCTCAAACAAACAAACAAAAACACACACAATTAGGATTCTAACATCTGACTGCACCCCTCCCTAGAGGGCTGGGGGTGGAGTCTCATAAACCAGCCTCCGGAGTAGCTGGGACTGCAGGCGAGCGCCCCCACGCCCAGCTAATTTTTGTATTTTTAGTAGAGACGGGGTTTCACCATGTTGGCCAAGATGGTCTCAATCTCTTGACCTCGTGATCCGCCCGCCTCGGCCTCCCAAAGTGCTGGGATTATAGGCGTGAGCCTCCACGCCCGGCTCCAGCCTTCTGTTTTAGTTTCGTTTGGTTTCCTCCACCTCCCCAAGTTGTTAAATTCTTAGTGGCAGTGATTTAAAAACCAGGATATTCCACATGAAACTCTGAATTTCTGGTTTCTCTTGGAAAATCGGATCTGACTCCTCCCGCCCACATTCCCGCGGGAATCCGGGTTCCTACAAACGGAGCCATTGGCTCCCTCCTAGCTCACAGAGACCAGCCGGGCCGAAGCGCTCCGGGGCCCGCAGAGGTTAGCGGGCCTTTGAGTTGCTGAGGTTCAGGCGCGTCACCACTGCCCTCTGGCGGCCATTTGCGGTATCGCAGGGAAGGCCTTTGCGGGCCCGCCTGAAGTGGGCAAGACCCTTCAGGGGTCCCAGTGGGACATTGAGGACAAGCCCTGGCAGAGTGGTGTGAGGACCCCGACTGGATATCCTGACCTGATAGAAAATATTCCTGAGCTGACTTGGCCTTGATTTTCCCCACTCCTCATAAGGGGACCCTCTTCCTTAGGGTCATGACAAACGTGTCTAAGATGGGTAAGCGCTGCCCTCTCTGGGCCTCAGTTGCCCCATCTGTAGAGTGATGTTTGGACCAGAACAATAGCTTCCAAGCTGTTTGTTAAGGTTACAGAACTGTGCCTTTTTGGGCTCAAATAGAGCTGCAAATGCCTGTTGAATAAGTCCAGAGAGCACTGATTTCCAATGGTAAGACTTAATTTTGCAAAAAATGTTATAGGACAAAGATATGCTCCCTGTAGAAAATCTGGAAAGCAACTAAAGATGGAAGGAATTTTAAACCACCCACTATCCCATTGCCTGAGACAATCACTGGTGACATTCTGAAATATTTCCTTCTAACTTTCAACTTTTTTTTTTTGGCCCTCCCTTCCTGCCTGCCTGCCTGTCTGCCTTCCTTCTTTCCTTCCTTTTTCTTCCTCTTTATCTTTCTTTTTCTTTCTTCTTTTTTTGCAGGATCTCACACTGTCACCCAGGCTGGAGTACAGTGTGGCTTGATCTTGGCTCACTCCAGCCTCAATCTCCCCAGCTCAGGTGATCCTCCCAACTAAGCCTCCAGAGTGGCTGGGACTACAGGCGTACACCACCACACCCAGCTAATTTTTGTATTTTTTGTAGAGATGAGGTTTCAGTGTGTTGCCTAGGCTGGTGTCAATGGTTGTGCTTTTAAAATGTAAAACTTTATATAGTTTTTACTGTATAAAGTTGTGTATCTGATTGAAGCAAATGTCCTTTTGATTATTCATTCATCCAGCAAGTATTTATTGAGCACGTACTGTGTTCCAGGCACTGCTCTAGACCCTGATAATGTGACAATGAACAGGATGACAAAAAGTTCAGCCCTCACAGAACTGCTGTTTTTGGCAGGGAGAAACAGACAATAAGCAACAAGCCCAATACTTACACAAATTATAGAGTAAGTTAGAAAGGGAGATGCAGTGTGGGTAACAAGATGAAGTAGCGCAGCGGAAGACGGGTTTTGGAGCCGGTTGTGGGCCCCGGGCAGTTGGGAAGTTAAGATCTGGGTGAACTTACAGGTGAGGGATTGAGCTGTCCAGATCTCTGGGGAAGAATGCTCCAGGCAGAGGAAACAGCGCACGCAAAGGCTTTGACGCAGCTTGCAAGCAGGCCAGGGTGTCTGGCACGCAGAGAGAGAAATGGGAGGGAGAAGGGATGAATCTGGGAGGTGAGGGCTGCTGGGCACATTTCCGGAAGCGGTTTTGGCCATTTCTCTGAGAAGCAGGGGCCATGGGAGATCTCCAAGCAGGGGAGTGGTGCCACCGACTCAGGTTATTGATGCAATTTGCAAACTACTAAAAAGTCTCAATGTGAATCCCATCGCCTGGATATGGCATTGGTTCATCTTTTTGGTAGAGATCCCCCACCCCACCCCTGCCCTGTAAAGATGGGAAGACTCACTTCCTTTCTATTTTTTTTCCAAAATAATATATTTTTTTCTGATTAGAATTTTTTTTTCACAATTTGGAAAATATTAAAAAGTATAAATACCACCCCCAAATCAGGAATAATTCTATCACATGGACATAGCATTGTTTCATCTTTTTGGTAGAGTTTTTTCCTGCTTTTTTAAAAATTAAAAATTTCCAGGACTTTAGGAGGCTGAGATGGGCAGATCACTTGAGCACAGGAGTTTGAGACCAGCCTGGGCAACATGGCGAAACCCCATCTCTACAAAAAATACAAAACACAAAAAGAAATTAGCTGAGTGTGATGGTATGTGCCTGTAGTTCTAGCTACTCAGGAGGCTGAAGTGGGAGGATTGCTTGAGCCTGGGAGGTCGAGACTGTAGTGAGCCAAGATTGTACCACTGCACTCCAGCCTGGGCAACAGAGCAAGACCCTGTCTCAAAAAAAATTAATAAAAAATTAAAAAAATTAAAGGAGATGAGCCTTCTAATCTTTACAGGTGGGAAAAAAGCAAGAAAGAGCTCTTACCAAAAACATGAAGCAATGCTATGTTAGGAGATGGGATTCTTCCTGATTTGGGTTTGTATTTGTTCTTTGCAGAATTTTCCAAATTGTGTAAATATATTATTATACACCTGTGGGAAAGTGTAGGCAATTCAGAAAAACATAAAAAAAAAATTGAAAGTCACCAAGATACCATTACCTGGAGATAATTAACATTTTGTTGACACCGCTTTATGAAGGCAATCTGTGCTTACACGTGTGCACACACAGACACACACACACACGCCCATTTACAAGCCTATTTTTAGTACTAGGTCATACTAGACAGTTCATGTTGTTTTGTAAACCTTTTGTTTCCCAACGATTTACCATAGATACCTCCCAACATCTTCTATTTTTTTCTCCTTTTTTTTTTTTTTTTTTTTTCTGAGACAGGGTCTTGCTCTGCCACCTGGCTGGAGTGCAGTGGTGGGATCTCGGCTCATTGCAGCCTCCGCCTCCTGGGTTCAAGGGATTCTCCTACCTCAGCCTTCCGAGTATCTGGGGACTACAGGCATGCACCACTACACCTGGCTAATTTTTGTATTTTTTTGTAGAGATGGGCTATCACCATATTTCCCAGGCAGGTCTCGAACTCCTGGGCTCAAGAGATCTGCCTGCCTTGGCCTCCCAAAGCACTGGGATAACAGGCGTGAGCCACCATGCCCAGTCCACTGTGTTTTTTTAAATGGCTTCTGGAGACCCTAGATGCTTTGTAGTATGGAATCACAAGATGCTTCTTAAAAATGCACATTCCAGGCTGGGTGTGGTGGCTCGTGCCTGCAGTCCCAGCTACTCAGGAGGCTGAGATGGGAGGATCACTTGAACCGGAGAGGCAGAGGTTGCAGTAAGCTGAGATCACACCACTGCACTCCAGCCTGGGCAAAAGAACGAGAGCTTGTCTCAAAACAAACAAATAAACAAACTAAAAACCAGAAAAATGCACTCCTGGCCAGGCACAGTGGCTCACACCTGTAATCCCAGCACTCTGAGAGGCTGAGGCAGGAAGATTGCTTGAGCACAGGAGTTCAAGACCAACCTGGGTAACACAGTGTGAGACTCCATGTCTACAGAAAATTTTTTAAAAAATTAGGCATGTGCCTGTGGTCCCAAGTGCTTGAGAGGCTGAGATGGGATGGGAGGATCGCAGTCAAGGCTTCAGTGAGCCGTGATTACGCCACAGTACTCCAGCCTGGGAGGCAGAGAGAGACCCGTTCTAAAAAAAAAAGAAAGAAAAGAAAAGAAAAAGAAAAGCACATTCCCTAGAACCACCCCCCTCCACATACCTACAGACCTAGCTTCTCTGTGGATGGGCCAGGAATCTGCATTGAGCCATGTTTTAACTTAAGACCCTCTCCCCTGTGTTATGAATGTGCCATCATTAACTGACCCCCTATCAGTAGACATGTGGATTGTCCCCAACTGGGGGCCACTAAACAAGAATACAACAGACAGCCCTGAGGGTCCACCTTTGCCAACCTGTTCTGTTGTTTCCATGGGACAGACTCCTAGGCATGAGATTGCTCAGTCGAAAGGTGTGTGCCTTTTTCTATCAGGGCACATGGTGTAAGCCCAGTGGTTCTCAAAGCTGGTCCCTGGGACAGCAGTGGCAGCATCACCGGAGAACTTGTTAGAAATGCACATTCTTAGGCCCCACCCAGACGGACAGAATCAGAAGCCCTGGGCTTGGGGCCTGGCATTCCGCATTTTCACAAGCCTCCAGGTGACTCTGGAGAGTCTGAGAGTATGCTCAGGTTTGAGAACTCCTGCTCCACAGCCACGCTGTTCAACACCATAGCCACCAGCCACGTGTGGCTTTTTCAGTTACATTAACTGAAATTAAATGATATCTAAAAATTAGTTCATCAGAGGTTGGGAACGGTGGCTCATGCCTGTAATCCCAGCACTTTGGGAGGCTGAGGCAGGAGGATTTCTTGAGTGTAGGAATTTGAGACCAGCCCAGGCAACATAGTGAGACCCCATCTCTATAAAAAGAAAAAAGAAAAAAAAAGAAAAATTAGTTCCTAGTGGCGCCAGTCATATTTCACATGCTCAGCACCATGTGGCTAATGACTACAGTATTAGGGCGGATAGGACATTACCATCAGAACAGAACATTCTATTGACTGTGTTGTTCTGGAATATTCCAGAAGAGGCCGAGGTGGGCGGATCGCCTGAGGGCAGGAATTCAAGACCAGCCTGGCCAATATAGTGAAGCCCCGTCTCTAGTAAAAATACAAAAAGCTGGGCATGGTGGTGCTTGCCTGTAGTCCCAGCTACTTAGGAGGCTGGGGCAGGAGAATCGCTTGAACCTGGGAGATGGAGGAGGTTGCAGTGAGCCAAGATTGCACCATTGCACTCCAGCCTGGGCATCGCATCAAGACTTCATCTCAAAAAAAAGAAAGGCTGACTCACCCCTCTTACCCCCTTTCATGCTCTCACCCTCCTTTTACTTAAGAAACGTCAGAAGAAAAAAAAAATAACCCCATGGGCATAAGAGGGGCCCAGGAGTTCAGGGCTCTTTGAAACGGATCATTGAAATCCTCATCGACTCTTTGAGGAGCACGCTTATTTTTGGGAGCAGTGGGGAGGGACGAGCCCGCTTTTCCTCATGGTCTTGTTCTCTCCCGAGCAGGACGAGATCATTCTCTTGCGATCCCAGCAGCAATCGTCCCACGATGACAGCCGCTCTGCTCTGAGACAGCTGGAGGTGAGACCAGGATTGGGAGGGAGGGATGCGGGAGCTTTTGTTGTCTGTCTCTGTGTCCGACGGGAGCTTCTGTCTGTCCGTTGGGCATCGGTCAGCTGATTCTCAGGAGCAATAAGAGGTCTGCCCTGTGACTCGAGGCTGGCCTGGATCATATCCAGACGTGTCCTGATGTTTTGTCCTGGGCAGCCTCTGCTACAATGTCATTGTAGAATTCTGTCCCTTCATCCATCCTAAAGGCTCCCCCATTTCAGGGAGTCCAGCCCCGGCTCTTGGGCCTGCAATTTCATCCCCGATGGGCTCCTTCCACATGGATCTCTGCCTCTTTCCTTCTTTCTTCCCCTTGTCCTGCCTGTGCCCTGTTCTCAATCAGTAATAGCAAATACACACATTTCTGCAGTAATTACCATGTACGAGGCGCAGGGCTCAGAGCTTGGCCTGCACTTCCATTGAATCCTGATGGCAGGTGCTGTTGATCTCACCGTTTTACAGATGCAGAGGCTAAGGTTCACAGAAGTTAAGTCACTTGACCAACATCAAGGAGCTGGGATATTGTATAAGTTTTGAGTTTTATTCAGCTGCTAATAATAGGGACTCCAAATAATAGTGGCTTAAGCAGGCACAAGTTTATTTACTTTAAGAAGTAAGTCTGCCACCCTGGTGAAACCCCATCTCTACTAATAATACAAAAATTAGCCGGGCGGTAGTGGCACACACCTGTAATCCCAGCTACTCGGGAGTCTGAGGCAGCAGAATCGCTTAGGCCTGGGAGGTGGAGGTTGCAGTGAGCCGAGATCATGTCACTGTACTCCAGTCTGGGTGACAGAGTGAGATCCTGTTTCAAAAAAAAAAAAAAAAAAAAGTCTGGAAATAGACACTTCAGGGCTGGTTTGACACCTTTATGATGTCATCAGTGACCTGGGCTCCATCTGTCTTTCTGTTTTGCCATCCTTAGTGTGTGACTTACATACCAAGGGCACCCCATGGTTGCATTGTAGCTTCCACAGATCCAGCCATCGCATATACATTCCAGATAGGAAGAAAGTGGGAGCTGCAAAAAAAAAAAAAAAGCCCTCACTAGCAGAGTCAGCCAGCTTAAAAGTGCTTTCCCAGAAGTCTCAGTCAATGACTTCTGTATTTACACTTCGTTGGCTACCCCTATTGCGAGAGATTTGGAAATGTAACTTTTAGTTGGTCACATCGCCACAAATACAATCAGAGTTTTGTTACTGAGGTATAAGGAGAGAGTGGATAGCATATGTCTGACAAAGACCTGAGAACTGCCCTCCGGAGTCACTTCTCTTCCCTTCTTTGAGGCTGTTTTCTGCTTTTATTCTGTCTGACACCTGGGAGACAGGGATGGCCACCAGGGTGTTATTCGCCTCTGGGCCACTGGATGGCAGCAAAGCACATGCTGCCCATTGAGGTGCTCAGAGCGGCATCTCCCGGGTATCTGGGTATGGGGAATAACAGGGTTCCAGGCACGGTCCAGATCCACAGAAACCCGCCCCAAGCTGGGCAGATGCCTGGGGGCCCACGTCCTTCACTCGGAGCCACCCAGAATCCAGACTTTTGTTGGGGTTGAGACTGGTGCCCCTCACATCTTGGGGTTTGGAAGAGGTTGATCAGGCAACCCAAACATCTCACCGGCCTCTGCCTGAAGCCCCTCCGCTAGCTTTTTGTTGCTTTGGCTTTAGCATGACTTTGAGGGGCTTCTTTTCAAATGCAGATACTCTAAGCAGGATAATTGGTCTTCTATATTTTTATTTTATTTTATTTTATTTATTTATTTATTTTTTGAGACGGAGTCTTGCTCTGTCACCCAGGCTGGAGTGCAGTGGTGTGATCTCGGCTCACTGCAATGTCCACCTCCCAGGTTCAAGCGATTCTCCTGCCTCAGCCCCTGAGTAGCTGGGATTATAGGTGCACACCACCATGCCGAGATAACTTTAATTTTTAATTTAGTGTTCTATCTATCTATCTATCTATCTATCTATCTATCTATCTATCTATCT